AAAGAAGAATGAAAATAAATTTATCCTTCCCTAACTGAAACCCATATATGTGTTACCCTTGCGAGTTCTCCCTAAATCAGTCTATGTATCGCCTAACCCCTAAATCAGTGTGACATCATAGCGCTAAAGTATGCATTACTATGTATATATGTATATACTATGTATATATGTATATACTTATATATGTATATGCTAAGAATAAATTAATCCATTTTCGTAGTTTGGGAATTAATCCATTTTATGTATATACTAAGAAGGAATTAATTCATTTTAATAATATTTTTAATTTTATATATTTTTAAAAATCATAAGTCTCATGAAGTCTAAGGGGCTGTTTATATGGAGATCGGGCTGGCGCTGTTAGCCGGGCTGTCTCACTTCGGTGAGATGAATATTGTTATTAAGTTTATATGAATTTTTTCTAACCCTTTCTAATCAGTCTTTTTTTTGCGCATTAGACATTAAAGAGAACAGACGCATTTTATGAGTTTTTAATTTTTTAAAAAAAAGTTTTGAAAATGTTACGCTAAAATGGCTCCGAGAAAATTTAGTGAGTTATTTTTGTATCTGAATAGCAATAAGAATCTCGTAGAAAACTACATTCTCAATGTGGAAGAAATTTGCTCCCATCCTAAAGATGTAATCGTCAAAGAATTTTCAAAACTTCAAGAGGAAGATATATATAGTCTCAGAGGTTTTCTGTTTACGGAGATCCTAGAAAGCTTTGAGAACAATTTTCTTCCTTGAACATTAGTCTCGATTCTGATGACCCTGTGAAGAAAAATCTTAGAAAAAGATACAAGGTTTCTACGTGTTTAGATGATATATATTTAATGTCTATCTCTCTTGCTGAGAAACAGCTCCACAAAGATTTTACTAAATTGATCAATAACTCAAAAATAATTAGTGAACAAATAACTACACATGTAAAAGAAATAAATGTTCTGTCGAATTTAAAAGAACTCAACGACCGCATAAAGGCATTGCATTCAGATAACATCAAAATTCGAGAAGATCTTCGTTTACTGAAAGTAAAATACGATGAACTTTATGAATCAAATGCAGAAATTAAAAAAAAATCAACAACAGCTGTCTCAAAACTGCGTCACTAAATCATCGGTTATCCAAAAACCAACAGAAAATCTTATTGTTTCAAATTCAATAAACTACCGTATAAAATCATGCACAAAGTAAAACTGCTCCACACTTAACCGTAGAGAATATCAGCGAAAAATTAAAAATACGTGAAACTTATGCACAAAAAGTTAAATTACCACCCAAAATTGCATACCATAATAATATTAAAAAAATTGGAAATAAAAGTATTGATCGTGACTGGTTTGAAGAAAAAAACCATTATGATTCGACACCGGGTACATTCATACCAAGAAAAGAATCAATGGATCAATTTGGAAGCAAAATAGCTGAAAACAGAAGCTCTATTGCAGGTAGCCGTATTGTTCGAGAATTTGATATAGTTTTCGGAGGCGCTTGCAATTCTATATCAGAAGATCTTTTGTATAATTACTTAAAAAAAGAAGTAGGCGTCGAACCGATTGCTGTCACACTTAACCGGGCAAATAAATATAATCGCTCCTTCAAGGTAACAATAAAAAGTTACAAAAAACACATCATCTTAAAACCTGAAGTTTGGGACAACAACATTATTGTTAAAAAATTTCGAAAGTCTCGTGAAAACTTAAGAACATTAATACCTCAAAATAATAACAATATACCGTCAATATCGCAGTCAATATCAAAAAGACAATCTGAAGATGAACATCAACAATATGCAGCTCGTGCCTATATCTAAATCCGAAATCACAATGGGTAAACGCACAATAAATTCAAAAACTTTTACTTTTAGTTTCTGTGCATATCACTGTCAAAGTATTAAATCAAACACCTGTTATATCTCTACCTTGATTAACTCCTTCGATATAATTTTTATATCCGAGCATTGGCTTTCAAATGCTGAGCGTTTTATTTTAAATGATCTAGCAGCTCCAACACATCAAGTATTTTTTCACTGTGCCAAAAAAAAAGAACACAGAAGACCTTTTGGGGGAAATACTTTTTTAATTCGTAAAAGCTTACCGTTGTCTCTTCAAGTAATACACGAAGATGAACACATTCTTGCAATAAAAGGTTCATTTGGCGACAGTGTTTTTATTTTTATTAGAGTTTATCTTACTTCATGCAGAAATACTACTGAATCCTTAGAAAAATATATGTCTCAACTTAGTTTAATAAACTCCATCACTAACACATATAAAGATGAAGGAGAATGTATAATTGCAGGCGATTTTCAGTCATTTCCAGAATATATGATAAGGAATATATGATAAGGAAATCCGAAACAATAAAACACGAAATAATTTTTTTAAGTATTTATCCAATTTTCTTGAATTAAATAAGCTCTTTTTTTTGGATATAATTAATGGTACTGGTCCAACCTATACCTATAAACATAAAACGCTGAATAATTCATCTTATATCAATCACATTGCAGTGCTAAAAGAATCATCAATATGCTTTACCGGCTGCCATGTTATTCCTCCTTCGCATCTAAACATGAATGATCACTTACCCATCACTACAAATATTAATCTTCAAAATAAAAGTCTAACACCAGATGTAAATAGTATTCTTAAAAAATATAATACAATCCCAAAGTATGCATGGATAGATAATAACTTCTCTCCGATTTTTTCAAAGATTACACTTTTATTGGAGAAGAAATAGAGAAACAATCTCAAACAACATGTGAAAAAATAAACAACGCTGCTATTTTAGCAATGGAAGACTGTTTTCCACAAAAAGAATCAGGAGCTTATTCTAAATCATGGTGGACACCAGAAATTAAATCGTGCAAAGATATTCTCTCTTTCCACTTTAAAGAATGGAAAAAAGATAACTTTAGTAGATCGCAGGAATGCAGTTCATTTAACAAGTACAAGCTAGCTCGAAAAAATTTCTGCAAAATTGTAAAAGCGGCTCACAACTTAAAAATTAATAAAATCACCAAAAATATTGAATCTCTTCGAAAAAGTAATCCACAAAAGTTTTGGAACAATATCCAAAAATTTAAATCAAATCCTAACACTCGTATTTTTACTATTAATAAAAAACAAGATAAAAAAGAAATTGTAGAAGAATTTAGACAAAACTTTAGTACCATTCTCAACACTCCCACAATTACCAACAACAACAACAAACACTGTCGTATTCCACAACTCATTGATGAACCTAATAAAGTTCTTGTATCAACTTCCGACATCGAAACTTGTATTCTTAAGCTTAGATCTAATAGATCACGAGATTCCTGCGGAATTACTGCAGAACATCTTAAATACTTCTATAACAACAATCTACTTACATAGCTTTCAAAGTTTTGTAACAATATCTTCAATAATGGAGCGGTGCCGGAGTACCTATCAACATCTATAATTGTTCCAATAGTGAAATCCTATAAAAAATCTCTTGATAATCCCGATAACTATCGCGGAATTAGTATCGTTCTAATTCTGACAAAGCTCTTTGAATATATTATTATGGAAAATGTCCGGAAATATCAGATAGCCACTCTCACCAATTTGGCTTCAAACATAATAACTCCACTCTTCATGCAGAGTTTCTTTTAAGTGAAATAATAAAATATTACAATAACAATAATTCATCAATATATATTTATAGTTTAGATGCAAATAAGGCTTTCGATAGCTGTAACTGGGAATTGTTGTTTGAAAAACTTTATTACAACAAAAAATTATCGCTATCAGTAGTTCGCGCACTACAATCACTATACCTATCGGGTTCTGCTAGTATATCATACCTTGGGCATAAATCAAATCATTTCCGTTTGTCTCAAGGCGTGCGACAAGGATCCATTTTATCACCACATTTATATAATTTATACACTCAAAGTATATTAAATCAAATTGTATCAGATAGCAAAGTTGGAACAACGATAAGTGGGGTGTACACTGGTATTATAGCTTATGCAGACGATATAATCCTACTAAGTCCTACTCTTTCTGGTTTACAAGAATTGGTTAATAAAGTTCAGTC